TAATTTATCCCATTCTACAATGCAGTATGTTATAAAATGCTTTAAAGAAGAAAATCGTATTGAAAACAAGGTAAGAAAAGGTCGACCAAGAAAGTTAACTAAACATGATAGAGATTTATTATTAGGAAATTTGTGAAAAACCCACGTTTGAGTGCTGTAAAAGTTTCTGAAGAATTTAATGCAAAGTTTTCTACTTCAATTTCACCTTAAACTGTTCGACGAGTTCTCAGAGAAGCTGGATTACACGGGCATTCTGCCCGTTAAAAAAAATTTTGTTAGTGAGAAAAACAGAAAGCTTAGGCTTTCATTTGCAAAATCAATGATAAATACACCTGAAACATACTGGAATAATGTTCTATTTGCTTACAAAAGCAAATTTAACATTTCTGGTTCCAATGGTCGAATAATTGTATGGAGAAGAAAAAATGAGGAATTTCATTCTAAGAACTTAGTTGGAACAGTTAAGCATGGCGGTGGAGGTGTTCTTGTGGGGGGGGGGGCATGACAGCATCAGGACTAGGTAATTTGGTATTTATTGATGGCATAATGAATCACTCTTTATTTAAATATTTTAAGAGACAATTTAAAATTATCAGCTAAAAATTTGGGTACTGGAAACAACTTTATTTTTAATCATGATAACGATCCTAAGTATATGGCTCTCAACGTGCACCTGCAATGTGTCTATAATTGTCCACAGGTTTTGAAAATACCACCTCAGTTGCTAGATTTAAACCCCATAGAACACATTTGAAAAGAGCTGGAGGTTAAAGTATGAAAACACAACATCAAAACGAAAAGCGAACTCAAAACAGCCATGGTGGAAGAATAGATGAACATTGATACAGAAATTTGAGGAAAAAAAAAAAAAAAAAAAAAACTAGTAAAATCTATCCCCAGACATTTAAAAGCTGTTGTGGATACTAAAGGATATCCTACTAATATTAATTTAATGAAAAATGAAAATATTCACTAATCTGTCAAGATTTTTTTGAAGTGTATGAAGACTTTTGTGAGATAAAATGTTTGTCATTTTTTTATTATTAATCTCTTAAAAATAAAGTTTCGCTATATTTAAAAAATATTTCATGTAATTTTGTTACGAATAGATTATAGATCTTAATATTAAAATCTCATACCGAAAGTTTACTTTTAATTAATGGATATAGCCCTATTTCAATGAAAATCATAAGTGTACGAAAACTTTTGGGAGCCATTGTGTATATACACATTGGGTAGAGTAGACTTTAAGGTACCCCTTGTATTATGGCAAAGTTGTTGTTTGATTTATCGCCAAGTTGTTTTTCATTTATGGTAGCCTGAGTAGTTGAATGTTATGGAAACCCTATTGTGACGTAATCGGGTGCATGATTCTGGGAAATTCTGAATCATGGGATGTTTTGTAAGCATTTTTGTGGTGTGCGTTAAAGCCGTTTAGATGGATTTGAATGGGTTTGTAGAAAGAAAGGTTCAGATGGTCACTATGTGAAATGTTCAATCAGAAAGAGTACCTGATTTGAAAAGTCATTTGAGTATGATTGATATTTTGAATTTTACGTGGCTCTGGGTGTACGAAGCGAACTCGAAAATCATGGTGAGTGAATATTTGCTTTTGGTAGTGCTTAAATGTATAACATGTTTTTCCTTTTTTATGTTATTTTATTGTTCAGTTAAAATGTATTTTATTGAGATTATGTATTTTTTGTTTGCCTATATTGTAGAATTTTGTGCTCCTTTGACTTTTTAAGTGAAAATATATCGATGTGTATATGGACAATGTAAAGGGAGTGTGCAATGCAAGTTTGTGCAATTCTGTGATTTTTATTAAAGTGAAAATAGGTCGACGTGCACATGGATAAAGTAAAAGGAGTGCGCAATGCCCTTTTTGTGCAATTTTTTTATTTTATTTATTTATTTATTTTTTTAAGTGAAAATAAGTTGATGTTTACGTGGATACTGAGTTTGTTCAATTCGCTATACTTTTACCATACACATTTCCACTCTGTTTTCAGGCTTGGCAAGCTCAGTAACTTTATTCTTACATGTTGGTAAATTCTGCATTTTTCGATTTATATCAACTGAATTATATTGTTCTTATGTTCCGGTTAAGGTTTTTATGCCTTTAATTAATTTGCATAAAATAGTTGTAGAATTATCAATAATTTAATAGTTTAAGTGGTGAGTTTAGCCTAATGAACAGCCATTTGTTTACTTTAAAACTGAGTAGAATAGTGAAGTAAGTCGGTTGCTGCTCCTTCAATGTCTTTTGCCTAGTGGGATAAAAGTAAACTTTCAGTTTTTTTCCTTCTTGCCCACTAGCCGAAATGCTTGTTTTTGCGCAGAAACTATAATTTGAATTGTAAAAAAAATTTTTTTTTAACATTCTTTTGACTATATTTGGTGTTCTTATTAGTTTGTATTTTACAATTTTTAATAAAGATGAGTTTTTATCTATATTTGCTTTGCTGCAAAGCTACTCATCCTTGCTTAATTGAATGAGAAATATATCTCTAATGAAATTAAAGGAAATAAGTTAAGTGAAATGCAGCAAAAAATGTGTATAACTTAGGCCATACAAGGAAGTCATGTGGTATCCACATCAGATTTTTTTTTTTAATATTTAAAATAAATAACCATGAGATTGCACTTAGTATTGCAATTAAGCTAAATTAAACTTAATTAGTATTGTAGTTCATAGAGTTTTAAGTTATGGCAATTATTTATTAAAAATAAGTTATAGTAATCAAATTTTAGAACATGACACAAATGTAGTATAATTCCTTTTCCTTTGGTGACTTTCTCTCTCTCTCTCTCTCTTTTTTTTTTTTTTTTTTTTTTTTTTTGGCACTCTTGTTTCTGTTTCCTGAGTTTTGGGAGTTGTAAATATTATCTTCTAATCAGCTGTAAAACTTCTTGATTTTTGTTTTACATTTTTAGTAAGAATCTTCTTATGGTTCTAGTGGTATATGATTTTACACAGACTGACATTTTACTTGTTCTAGGAGGGGAAACTCTGCAATGAACCAAATCCTATACTCACAAAATTTTAAACCCACTAACAACACAGTGGCAATGTTTTTAAACCTGTGAAGGACTTTTGATTAAGCCTGGATCAATCAGATAATCATAAAGCTATCCGATGCTTTTAAATTTGATGGGAAAGCACTCGCCTGCGTTGAAGATCTTCTGAGGGGCAGATCCATTGTCAATTTTAATGAATCATTTTCGAGAGACTACAGACTAAGCCAGGACCTGCCTCAGGGCTCTGTGATAACTCCTCTATTATTCTCATTATATTCGGCAGAGACTGAGGCAGTTATGTGACGAGAGAACCCAAGGATGTGAAAGTGGACGTTTGCTGATGATTTAATTTTATGGAACTTTGGTCAAATAATACGAGAGTGAGTGAAAATACAAATTCCACCCTTTCTTTCTTTCTTTTTTTTTAAGTGAAAGTTTGGAAGTTTCATATTTTTAATTGTATTCTTTCTGCATGCCATCTTACCAGATTTAAATTGATGATCTATAATGCGGAATCGCCGAAGTCCCGACGAGTCCGGATTACGGACTTTGTACTGTATATGTATTTGCGTATATGTAGTCGAATACACATTTTTACCAACTTTTTGAAATCTATTAATTTTTAGACAGTGGAAAACGAAATTGTGTAAAATGAGTAAAGCGTAGGTGTGTTAATTAAACAAAATTAGCTAAAAATAATGATAAATATTTCCATGTTTTTCTTGCATGTAGGAATACTTGCAATACACACAGCAGCATACTAAATAAAATGAATATCCATATCTAAAAGGCATATGAAATAATTAAAATGTTTGCATGGAAATACAAAAAATTAAATATATATGCTTCACAGCTAGATTACTAATGAGGTGAATAATAACATTTTTCTTTTTACATTTGTCAGGCATAAGTTAATTTAGCTTTTCAGGTTGAGTTTATTTATGATAACATGAATTAACATCATAAAATGCCCTAAAGAGAAAACAAAATATAAATTTTATAATTTATTCGAGATGCAGTACCTTTTTCTTGCATCAGTTTGTAAGATATACTTTTGTGAAGTTGTCAACTTGACAATGAATTTCTTCCACAAAAATAGCTTAGCATGATCTCAAATAAAGCACTTGCATTTAAACATCGTTGTCATCTAAATAGTTCTCTTGTGATGAACTAAATTAATTACTAGAAATGCAGCAATGAGCTTAAAAATGTAACAAAGACTAACTTGCATAATGCATAAGAAAAACCCATATAACTAGGATGTTCAATAGCTGGAAATTTAACTTTTGGTATTTCACAGCTTCAGCTACTCAGTCACTGAGTGGACTTCTTATTTTTTATACTAAGCATATGTATACCTAACTTCTGCATAATTTATGTTATCCTCCAAATTTAATAAATAATCACCAAATAAATTAATTAATATATAAGTTATAAATTAGTCCAAGATATACTAAATCCCAAGTTATAAATTTTGAGCAATTTATTCTGGAGACAAAAAACATGATATAGTTAAATTATACATTATATCAAGCTAACATCTCTATTTTACAAGAAATTTCATAAGCATTCATAAATTTCAACACCCAGAGACAATATTAATTACATGTAGTCAAAGCTACTTCCTGTTTACAGAATCAGATGTAATACAAATGAACAACAATAAAAAAACACTGGATCCTTAGAGAGCTATGCACTGAAAATAAGCATTTTCAATACAAAAACTACAATATTTATTTTTAGGACTTTTATTTTTAGGTTTTTGTTTTTTGAGTTTTGTCCTGGACTTTTTAGTTTTGAACTATTATCGCCATTGTTGACAATGTTTACATTTACCACCGGGCTCTTTGCGGAAGTGCTTCCTTATTTTTTTTTCTCTTTTTGTCTTATCTAATTGTACTGCTTTAAATTCTGTATTCAAAAATGCTTCGAATTGTAGGCATTACATTTTAAAAAGAAAACGTCTTTATTTATCCTACCTCTGTATATTCCTCTTCAGATAAAATCTTCTTTTTCTTTCTACAAAAAACTTTGTTTTCCACTCCATTTTCTTGCAGTGCACTACTTGTCACAGGTGTATTTAATTTTTTATCCATTTCCGTCACCTCCATTTTCATCAACAACTGGACACACACAGAAAATACACAGATATTTCGTTTTGCACCCGCTACGTTTTTCTGCCCGCAGAGCCAAAAATCAAGCTTAGGTGTGAAGGAAAGGCCCATCGGACGAAAGCCCACTCGATAAAAGCTTAAAAAAAAAAAAAAAAGGTTTCAGATTTTAAATTAGGTCCAAAGGGTCTTTTTTTTAACGTTTTGTGTGTTACCTTTATTTATTAAATATCATGTTCTTTGCAGTTAAACCATAAAATTCAGTTCAGTAGCAATGTCGCAAAATAATTTTAAAATGAGCATATCTTTAGAATTTCCAATACAGTTCCTCGCCCGCTGGAGATAAAAACGTTTTTTCCCCGCCGTAGAATGTTGCCATTGCTCGCTTTTAAATCATTGAGTTTGTTACTCAAAAATTCGTTAAAGTTTTACAAAATATGAAATCGATAATAAAAAAAATTCGAAATTTTAATTTTGGTCTTCCACATGCCTATATTCGTAAGAGGATTACGTCATTCAAATCTCTGTGGCTCCATGTACCGTTGTTTTATCACAATGAGAGAAATAGACATACATTTATGCAGATTTTTTATTATTTAATTTCTTCAAATATGATGCAAGACTCTAACATTTGGTGGCAACAGTTTGAAAAGTGAAACGCAAAATCGCAAAACGAAAACAATAGTCCATCAGGGACAAAGCCCTTATGGACTAAAAAAACCCCGAAAGCTTTCAAATTTTACATTACGCCCAAACGCCATTGCGTTTTTGAAATGTTTTTCGTGTTATCTTTATATATTAAATATCATGTTCATCGCACTTAAACCATAAAATGCAGTTCAGCAGCAATATAGCAAAATGATTTTAAAATGAGCATATCTTTAGAATTTCCGATACACAGTCTCGCCTGCTAGATATCAAAATGTTTTTTTTTTTTTTCCCTCGTACAGTGTTGCCATTGCTCGCTTTGAAACCGTTGATTTTATTAATCAAAAAGTATTACAAAATATGAAATAGATAATAAAACAAATTCCTCATTTGGGCTTCCAGATGCCCACATTCGGATGGAAACGTACGTTATTCAAAATTTGTTGGCTCTAGGTACCGTCGTTTTATCAACATACATCTATTTATGCAGATTTTTCATTATTTAATTTCTTTAAATATAATACAGGGCGATAATATTTGGTGGCAACCATTTGAAAAGTGAAACAACGCTTGTAGTAAATCGACACAAAATGCCGAAACAAAAAATTTAATAATTCTTCTAGGCAAATTGTTCCTTTAGATTAAAAAAAAAAAAAAAAAAACACTGTGATAATTGCTCACGCGACAAATACTCACACTGATGAATGCGTACATTGATGAAAGCCCACACTGATAAAGCAGATATATTCAAAAGGACACATTGTTTTTATCGCTATGAAATATATTTATAGTTGTATTCAGACCTGAATTTTAATGTCACAAAAATATGTCTTTACTTTATTTGTTTATTTTATAAAGTAGCAAACAAACTTCCTGCTTTCTGATTAAGTGATTAGCTATATAATGTTTCGATGATAAATCTGAAAATGTTTTTTATTATTTATTTGTTTAATTAATTTTTGTATAAGTATTATTATTTTGGCATAAGTTAATTACTTGTTTAATTAATTTGGTATGTGAAAATGAAAAATATTATTTTGAAGTTCCTTCCATGCTATTTCTAATGTTATATGGCTTAGATTAAATATAACAAAAACGGGAAAAAATTTAAAGCTATGAGAAGATATTTTAAGCCTCTCAAGTTTTTGAAGTAAGATGATAATACCAGTAACTTCTTAGCCTTCGGTATGCTGACTAAAAGTAGCATTGTCTTTATTAATTGTTATTATTTGAACATAAATTAAACTCCTATATCGAGAAATGTGTGACAGTAATCATTAACCTCCGTTGTGAATTTTTTTTTTTTCCCTAACGAGAGCTTTTATTTTTATCTTTGTTATTTTTATTTCATTTATCGATGGGACATTGCAGAGAGAGGCTATGCGCTTGCGTGAAAGTGCATATTTGCCTGCGAACTTCCAGCATTCGGCGTTTAGACTTTATCTTCACATTACCATGCAAAGAAAAATAGTTAAGAAAAATAAAATAATTTGAAGTCAGTTAGCTAAAAGAGGGGGATAGTTTTGATAAAATAAATTTATAACTTTTTCTATAGCTTTCTATGCTGAAAAAAAAAAAAAACACCAATCAGTAAAATATGATTCATTAATCTTTTAAGAAAAAGTTCCATTCATTTATGTTCAGACTTTGCAGTTGTTATTGCTTAATCGATTTAGATAAAGCACAAGAAGGATTCCTTCATGGAAGACGAGCATGTTGGGCGTGATCAAAATATTTGTTTAGCTGATTTTGTCATTTCATCACAAGTGAGACTCATGATAGGAACAGCTGCCTTCGAGATGTATATGATAATCCTTTTGAGTTTTTTCATAATCAATTAGCTGAACATTTGAGGGATTTCATTGAGAAAATATTATAAATTACAAACTTATCACAAACTAATGTTCATCTTTCTTGAAAATCAATTTTATTGAACTCGAAGTTTTCTAAAGAAAAATTATTCTTTTATTGAGCCATTTTAAAATTATCTTCTTCACCTTCCTTTCTTTCTGATGGTTCATTTGATACCCATTTATTTATTGAAAATCGCCTTTTTTATGAGTTCGATAATTTGTGTGCCTAACTGTTTTGCTTCCTCCTTATTCCTGACTTCCGTGAGAACGTCAACTTCATAGGTATCTTTCAGTATGATTCTCGAAGCTTCTGGAAAACTCGTTTGTTCATCTATAGCAAGTTGTTTTAATGTTCAAATGACCAAATACGGAACACAAGTAGTGCCGTAGTTAACTGCCATGAGTTGGAATTCTTGAAGCAGTTTTTCAGGGTTTTCTCTTAAAAAGATTCTCTGGAAATCAACATAATTTTTATTAAGTAGGATTTGCCGAAACATTTGTTCAATATCTCCAGTGAGTGCGATCTAAATTTTAATAGGACGTTCAACAATTCATTTTGATGTTTTGGACCTGTATAGAGAAAATTATTTAAAGAAAATCCTAAATCAGGCTTTGCAGAGCCATCCGTAATTTGGTAGTTTTACTTTGATCTTTCCTAACTCTAAAATGAGGTAAACAGAAAACTAATGAGATTTTGAAAATTCGACATTTGATTGTTGAAAATTCGACACTTGCACGTGATTCATAGTTTGCTATTCTCGCATGAAGGTTATATATTGAGTTTTAAGCTCTGGATTCTGTTGAAATTTTCTTTTTAAGGAAAAGAAGCGCCCCTTCTCTTGATTTCTTGAATCTCCCAACTCAGCTATATTTTTAAGTGAGAAAGTGACAACAAATCTGCCATCAGAATTTCGACAAGTGTGATTTAAATAAAATGCCTTGACGTTCAGCTCTTTTTAGTTTAGTGTACTCACATGTGGAACTGACTTGCCTTCCCAGAATTTTTTCATTAAATTTTCAATGTCTGCTAAGGCATGACAATTAATTAAGGAATTCTGAATTCGATTTGAAACAGACACCCTTCCTGAGATGAGCCAACCCAATTTTGAATTTAGAGCCGAATATTGATTTTGATTTTCCACTATCGTTCCAGTTTGAATTAAATCTCTAAGAATATATTTGTAGCCAGAATGTTATCAATACGTCTACTTATGTGAAAAGAAGTGTCTGCAATTGTAATCCTTTTAGGTAAGGCCAACTGAATTCTGATATATCGAAGTTTGGTAAATTTGACGTCAGCCTTTTGACTACTACAGCATTAATATAAAAGTTCTCGCTATTAAAATGAGGAGTGAAATTTAAAATAAGTACTTTCGTAGCACGTACGGCAACTGTATTATAAGTTTTAGAATCGTGTGTTCAGAATTTTGAAATGAAATTTTCAGTCGATTGCAACAAAATTCAGTGATTAAAAATGCTTGAGAACCATTTTCAATTAATAAATGGCATTTATGAAAATATTCTCGATTATTTTGTATGCTTATGGCAGCTGTAGTAAGCAAAATTAAATTAGAATTCTTTACATTCCCTGCGAAGCAAAATTGCTGCTCTTCCGAGGTGCTACCCGAAGACTAACATATGGCCTGATTTTGAGATGGAATAGACTGTAAACGACTTTCAGCTGAATGTTTTTAATAAGTACGAAAAGTAAGAAGATATATGTGATTTTTCTGTTTTCATGCTCTGCAAGATGTAGTGAATCGGCATGAGGACACACTATGATTTGGTCTCAGACAATTAAAACAAAGGTTTTCTTTTCTTAAGAAATTGCAATGCTCATCAATATTCATTTTAAGAAATTTCTCGCATGTTAAAAATGGCAAAATGCCAAATAATTGGCAAAGTGCACAAGAATCCTGCTTCAGTTTTACACTTGCTTTAAGACTAAAAGTTTTTTTCGATAGATTTTACTGATCTGTTTGGATTATTATAATTTCCCTTTACAGTGTAAAGGCTTCTAGGTTGTTTCTCAAAAAACGAAAGAAAATTTTTTAAAGATGGAAATTTCTTATCCTGTAGCATTAATTCCCATTTGATTTTAAGTGAATCCTTTAGCTTATCTTGTAACACATAAATCAGATAAATTTCCACTAACTGATTACATTCCAGATAAAGTGTTTTAAAATTCCGAATTACTTCATTACAAATATCTTTCATCATTCGAATGAAATCAGATGTTGGCTTTGCAAATTTTAGATTAAACAATTTTCTACACCGAGAAAATTCCAATTCCCTCTGATTGTGATATCGGTTGAGTAAAGTGTCCCAAGCATTTTTATAATTTTCAGAAATTATTGCGAATCCCCTAATACGTCTTGCAGAATTAAGCATCAGACGAAACTGCATTTTGAAGATATTGCAATTTTTGAAAATCGGTCAAACATTCATTGGAATCAATGCACTATGAACCCGTTCATACGCAACAACATTATATTCTACAATATATTTTTATAATATTACTTTG